GGGGTATGCGTTATTCGGTGGTTACAGAAAAATAAGAAAACATGGAATAATATCAAGAGGTTATCCCGGGAAAAGGAAGTGTGAACAGTGTTTGGTTGCGACTTATTCCTTGATGTTGGGCCAGAAATTCATTGATGATGAAGAAGAACCAGTGACCTATGAGGTGTGGTTTGATTTTATATTATTAGTTTCATTTACCGTAGTCATTATGAGTGTTTTGGGTTTTTTAAAATCCTTCTGACCTCCAACTGTGGGGGCGTTGTTCTCGAGGAAGTCGTCCTTGATGAACCGGTGAGAAATGCTGGACTTGCCCACGCCCTGGTCCCCCAGCATCACGACGCGGAAACTGGGCTTTGAAGGTGCCAGACCACTGGCAGACGTGCCCTGGGTGGGCATACTTCAGCAGTGCGTCGGTAAAACTCGTGCTGGAAACATAAACCAGGGGTAAAAGTCGGAGCCTTTATTGTTATATACAATACTGTACACTGTATAGTATACACTATTAGATGTAACAATAAATAATTTTGATAAATAATTTTCTTGTTACAGCTAATACTGTACACTGTACACAAGCTGATAACTGGCACGACCAGCAAGCAGACTCTTTCAATACTTTCATGGATCCTGGAGAGGAGGGAGGAGCAGATATGGCATTGTGCCGCCTGCAATCAGCAACGATGTCTATTTTTTTTTTTTATGGCGCTCGCTACTGCATATTAAGGTCATATGAGCGCTCGGTACACACGAAACGTTTTCAATTGGTAGGAAATTTTGAATTTTGCCTGGGTGGCGTCCGAAGCTTACTCTTATCGATTTTCGACCTCCAAGGGATCTTTGTCGTGCGTAACTTGCACACGGGACCTCCGAGATTTTTCCCCCTTGTCCGAGAAGACAAGGTATAGATCTTTCCTACCAGAAGATCAGGGGTGTGGCTGAAAGATAACAGAAGAAAGGAGCCAAAAAGTAGCAGTAGAAAGGCTGCAAAAAGAGTGGGGCAAAGGAGGTGAAGGGGTGGGGGAAGAAAGCGGAGACGAAAGAAGACGACATAATATCACAAGAGAGAAGAAAAGGAGAAAGGAGACAATTTTAGAGAAGAGGATTTTCCGTTACTACCCGGATTCGAACCCAGGACCTTTGAATGAGAGGTTAACACCTTAATTTCTTGGCCACGAAAGCCCCCGATGACTATTCTCCAACCAAGTTACTAACATTGTACACTACAGTACACAATGTGATAATCTTATAGGTTTCTCGACGCAGTGGAATCAGGTGCTCGTCAACTTTTGGGTATAATGTATGGAGCTACTCGTATTTATATATTCTTGAAGCGTGTTCATTTGTTTAGCTTTTGACGAAAAGTAATACTTTGCAGTCACACAGCCAGCAGTACAAGTACAAAACACCCCCCATCTGGTCACCCAGCCAAGAGAGTGACTGCATGCAACGCACTTCTGGGGCCAGGCGTGGAACGGATAATTTTCACTGTCGCATTATCATGACAAGTGACCGCAAAGTATATTAAAAAGAACTATTGATGTATACTATTGAAGGCGTCGCCTAGCACATGGGAAAATTAACTAGAAAATGATCGTCAATGATTTGGGACTTCCAAAGCTTGAGAGTCCTTGGAAACTGTTGATCTATATTTTGTATACTCTTGATCAGTTTTTCAGTAAAATCCACTCAGATATATTTTTTAGATCGACATAAAAGGTACTGAGCCAACAAAAATCGATGGTAAATGCTCAACGGTCGAAAAATGTTGGTTTCTTTGATTTCAATATTTTGATTAGCGCCTGATTTCACCACGATTCAACACAATGGGTTTAGTGTAAACACAAAGCGATGTTTGTCTCATGAGTGGCACATGCTGTCGTGTTCTTGTCACACCTCGTCGTTTTCAGTTGACTCTCTCTCTCTCTCTCTCTCTCTCTCTCTCTCTCTCTCTCTCTCTCTCTCTCTCTATCTATCTATCTATCTATCTATCTATCTATCTATATATCTATCTATCTATCTTTTTGTACATTAAGATCAAGTCATTTGCAGATAACTAAGGGTTATGAGCTTTGTTGAGCGGCTCATACGGTGCATACATAACTGCTCAAATTTCTCTACTTAATCATATTGTAAGGAGAATCTTCTCTTGTTTTTTTCTTTCGAAACTTCCTGTGTCGGCAGTTCATATCTGACCTCTTCTTGAGTGTGGGAAGAGATCTGTCTAAATAGACAGTATGCTAATGTAGCGCCCTAGAACCACATAAATATTGAGCCGTTGCTCTGGATTGCACATGACAACCCGCCCACCTCGAAAAAGTCCTTGTATGCACGCATTTGTACACGTTAGTTTGTTAACTTCACGGCAATGTATTCTTTTATAAGAAAGTGAAAAATGAAGAACAAAAAAGAGGGCCACCGTACGGGTATTGCAGAAATATGAAATCGATGACCCGGCCGAGCTAGACAACCCTCAAACGTAGGTGCAAGTGTTTCATACTGATAACCCCCATTCAACAGCAAAAGCTAAGGTTCCTATCTTGAGCTTATCTTATCAGTTTTCGGTCCTAGATAACCGCCGATGATAATATCGGTGAATCTCAAGGTTTTTTTAGCTAGATAAAAATGCAAGCTGATACACACGACGAGCAGCAGTCTCTCATATAATTCAAATTTATGACCTACTCCAATCACCAACTTTTCTATTGAGTTGTTAACATTTCTCTCTCTTGTATTAGCACGTAGATTGCTCAGTGGTATCATGTTGATCTACCGTGCATTTGATCTAAGTTCAAATCCAAGGCTGAGGGTTCTTGGACACCGGCATCTGTGGTGTAGCGATTAAGCCTATCGTGTCGCATGTAGGAGACATAATAATAATATGTTCGAATCCCGTGTGGGCAAAAGTATTTCTAAGTATCTCCGTCAGTCTTCTGGGGCATTATATCCCTTTCAGCCCGGGTAGGCCCTGAGAGGCAGGGTTGAAGCTTGCCTCCTAAATTATCTAAACTGTGTCGACATGAGCGTAAAAAAACGCGTACAATTTTATTTGTTTTCTAATTTAAGAACTTCAGTGGTTTAAGAAGCTTTCAGGTGTTCCACCAACTTTTGTCTACCCTTTTGGAGACAGGTTTTTGGGGGGAGGGGGGTTTAGTACTCACTTTTTAATTCGACTTTCTTTTGCTGATAAGATAGTTAAATTGCTTTCACACTATTCCCGTCACGATTGTGTTAAACGGGATATAAGCAGACACAGACCGGCCTGTGTTGTTAAGGTTAAGCGATTTGCCGTCGCACGAAAAATACCTGAATTCGATAATTTTACGGATATGGCCGTTTGTCGATGTTATTAAAGAACAAATTTTTAAAATTTTTAATCGCACATTCTCATCGGAATTTCGGACATCTGGAAAAGAATAATCGAGGCGTGTTGCTTTCCCAACAGGCAAAAAGTTCACGTGGGGCTGTTTGGTGTTTGTTTGTTTTTCTGTCTGTCTGTCTGTCTGTCTGTCTGTCTGTCTGTCTGTCTGTAATTCTGTCTGCCTGTCTGTCTGTCTTTCCGCTTGTTAGAGAGTTTGTGTGTGTGTTTGTTTTTTGTTTGAATGTTTGTTTGTTTGTTTGAGTAAAGGGGAGCACATTCATACGATAATAAATTTTATTTATATTGGTCATTAACTCCAGACAAAGAGTAAGACGAACAGATGGACAGGAAAGACAGAGGGAAAGAAAAAAAGTAGGACCTCGATATAATAATATATCAATGATGCTTTCGAATCCCACGACATATTGGAATGCGTCAAGCCAAAATACAGACGTACCGTATAAATAGGGCACCCAACATGAGAGGTGGTAGAGTATGGGTCATGGAAAGTCTTAACAAATAATTATATTATAACTGCTACATTGCACACCACACCAAACGGTGTGGCTTGAGGACTAGCAAGTTACAACCGAATGACTGGCGTCGATTAGATACTATCGTTCTGCGCTTTAGTTACGAGGAGAGGCGTTTCCGGGTACTTTGATTGAGCATAAAATGTGGAGTTATGTCTATGCTAAGGATGGTTCTTGAGTTGAAAGGGAAAAAAACGTAAGGATCTGGACCGCACGATCAAAGAGTAGGATAATAATAATATAATAAGAATAAGAATAAGAATAAGAACAATATGGCAGGACAGAGTGATATTTGATGGATGAGTGGGGGGATGGGTGAATGAATCAATGGGTGGATAGATGGATGGATGGATGAAAAAGATGAAACGGTGAAAGATGGAAAAAATGTAAGAGGAATTTTGACTCTCCAGAAGTGTATAAGTGTGTTATGAAGAAATATTTCGTGATACTTTCCCTGTATGTTTCCATTTACCGTTGTCTAAGGTGCAGTTACTTCACTTTGCGCCTGTATGTTGAAAAAAAGATGGGTTCTGCTCTGACGCGAGCAAAATAGGTTTACAAGTAGACGTACTACATCAATCGCTCTACTTAGATTGATCTTGACAGGTTTGTTCAGGGCAGCCTGCCTCCAAAATGATTTCACCGAACAAAATGGGGAGGGGGGGTGTAAAACATTTACTGAAATTTATCCCTAATTTAGTAAAGGTCAGCTTTCCTCTATGTAGGCCTACAACCACCGTTATTTGAAGTCTGATAAGAACAAGAACCACAAAACGTAAGGCGATTAACAATTTTTAAAAACAGGAAAACTGGAGACGGTAGCCTATACCATGGCCCGCTGAACTGTCAGTTTCAAAGTTGGGTTATTGAGATATAAAGTAGGCGTGGCAACTGCTACATTGTACCTTGCACACTGTGTGGCAGTAGCTTATTATGATGAAGCCGTAGCGCACTTTCTGATCGAATTATTGATGTGGAAGCGACCAGTATTGATGGCTAAAGCCATAAAGCCACACAGTCGAATCTGCTCTGAAGGTCATCTGCAAGTGACAATCGCCTGTATAAACGACTACTTTCCTTTCACCCCAAGCGTTTTTTTTCTTCTATATTGAACTGTCCAAGAGCACCCCTTTTTTTAAAGTTGCTTATTAAATATTTGTTCGTTATTTTTTTAACATTATAATGACATTAAGTAAGACATCCAGCTGTCCTTGGCGGACACTTGTCTTCTCAAGATGGGTGGTCGTTTTGAACAATTTCGAACAAACATTACTTACTTGTTCTTGATTGGAGTAGAATTTGCTTATATGTCTTTGTCGAGGGTGATGTCTTTGCTAGAGTGGGCAATCGAGTACATAGTAGTTGGGTGGAGTGACAAATGAGTGAGTGGGTGAGTAGGCGGGTGGGTGGATCTATGCATGGAAGGGCAGACGTATAGATGATAAACCGATAACCCCATATATACATGTGGGTATTTTGTGCAGCTACGTTTATATAAGGAAGCTGATACATCTAGGAGTGAGTGAGAGCGACGATTTATTTTTAGAGCATTTGCTTTTGTGTATAGTATTAGTTATCTGCCTTAGATAACAAAGGACACCGTTTTTAGTATGGAGTAGGCGTACGCAGTAGATCTAGTAATAATATGTAAGCAGGCTTAGGTAGCTATAATAATCATGGTATGTGAGTTATAATGGAAGGATGGATGGATGGATGGAGGGAGGGATGGATGGAGGGAGGGAAGGATGGATGGATAGATGGGAGGGTGGGTGGGTGGATGGTTGGATGGATGGATGGATGGATGGATGGATGGATGGATGGATGGATGGATGGATGGAGATGAACCTGTGGTTGACTGGAATGGTGGATGGATGGGTGGACTGATGAATAGGTAAAGCACTTGACAAACAAATACTTTTATGAATGGATATGTGGATAGAATACAGAAAAGATTGGGATCTGGATAGATGAATGAATATAATATTGTTAATATGTGGGTAAAAGGGTCAAAGAGTGGATACCTAGCATGATGGAATGACGGAAGATTTGGAGGATGGATAGATTTGTGAAGGGATGAATGGGTTGAAAGATTACGGTAGTAATGGGCATACCTTCGGACAAATAGAATGTCGTACTCGAGGATAAATATAATTGAAAGACAAATGAAAGACGTTTAGCGGTGAGGTAAATCGGTCACCTAAGCGTTTATTGGGTGGGAATAATACTTTCTAAAAAAGAAATCTACGAATTTATCCGTAACCATAAGCGAAATATTTGCAAATGTTATAGGTACAACGCCCCCTATCAACACTGTAAGCTTATAATATAAGAGGCGGGACCTTCAAATGTAATGTTGAACTCTGCTAGAATCGAGCCAAGTAGGAGTAAATACTTTTTTAAAACTTCCTGACATAACTCAAGTTTAGAACACCCAGTTTGAGATTCGAACCCTGGACATCCGCTTCGAGGTCCAACATAATACCAACTTAGCTATTACAGTGGTACATCCCTAACCAAATGAATAAAGGAACGCATCATGTATGAAAAGATCAGGGACGGGGCAAACAGATGGGGGGAATGAGGAAGAGATGGATAAGGGAATGGAGGAAAGCCTGTTTGTGTTTGATTCATGCGTCTGATGGTTATTAAAAAGATGCTTTGGTACTAAAAGTGCTTAATGGTTGAATGGACGGGTATGGGGGGGGGGGGGTAATAATGACGAGGTGAGCTGATGGGGGGGAAGATAGCTTATAAGAGAGGTTTAATTATTAGAGCTTACATACGGAAATGGAGCTCCAAATTTATTAGTGCAGCAAAGCTCTCCAGAAAAGAAATCTCGATGCCAAGAAAATTCTTCAGATATTGTCTTTGACGTTGCGAGAGAATAATATATCCATCGATGAAAAGTGTTTATATGAGTATTAACTTCATTTCTGAATTCAGCGTTCCTCGAACAATCATTGGAAAGGGAAGTCTGATGTGAGACGGCTGGTGGGCAGCTGTTCGATATTATGAGAACACTATATTAAGAATCGGTTGTTGATGAATTAATAAAAGGGATATTCTTTTAAGTTCACTTCTGAAAAGACAATCTGCACTGCAACGCCTGTGCCTGAGAACGAAAATATACGATATAAAGTCTTTTCATCCTTAGAGAACAGACAAAATAATCCTCATTCACAGTCTCTGAGTCAACGTAGTAATTCAGTGGAGAACATCGATGACGCAGAACTAGGAGATAAACAACGCCTCTGTCAGAGACGCTTGTCTGAAACCTATCATCAGCTCTACAGGGACATCAGCCGTCAGCTCCAGGGCTATGTTACACTACACTAAACAGACCATTGATCGTGTTATAACCTGTTCGACTAGCCGATTCTTCCGAGTAGGATGGAGTCTGAAAATCAGACTATCCACGCTACATGTGATATAAGTCGTCGTCGTCATCATCATCATCATAATCATCATCATCATCATCATCATCATCATCATCATCATCATCATCATCATCATCATCATCATCATCATCATCATCTTTATTGTAAAAAAAAAAACCATGAGAGTAAAGAATGAGAGGCTTAAGTAGTTTACGGTCATAAAAGTAAGAATAAACTTCATTTTTTAAAGTAGTTACTAAAAAGGTTCAACGCTTCTCCTCAATGTCTACTTCAGAAGCAATTTTAATCATCATTCTCACACTCATTATTTATTTACTTGATTCACTCCATATTCATTCTGTTTTGTGTCACACCCAGACGTCGAGATACATTACTTTCTGCCACTCAGTTTCAAGTATCTAGGGGCAACAACCACAAATGGTGGAAGAAGTGAAAAAGAAATAAACATAAGAACAGCACACTCTAATGTGCAACTATTTAAATCCAGGCAACTGTCTCTCACTTTAAGAAAGAAAATGCCGGAATGCTAAATCTTCCCCATATTCCTATATGGCTCAGGGACCTGGACTTTGACAAGGAAAGAAGAAAACAAAATAAATGCGTTTGAGATGTGATGCTACCGTAGAATGGCCAGAATAAGTTAGTGGGGGGGGGGGGGGGCAAACAAAGAGATGTGTCAGATTCTACACATAAGACAGACCCTGCTGAGTCAAATAAAATTTAGAAAATACAATATTATGGCCATTTAAAAAGACGCGAGACCATTGTGAAAAGGTTGCTTGAAGGAAAGATGTGGGGCAGGAGAGCCAGAGGAAGGCATAGAATAACATATAAAAGAACATGCACTGGAATGGATATGTCAGAATATGCAACGGCAGTTCGCGACCTTGAAAGATGGAGGGTCATTGCACGTCAACCTCTGAGCCAGAGATGACACCTCCAGGTATCCAGGTACTCAGTTTTTAAAGAATGGAAGTTCAGAAGGCAGAAGGAAAAAATAACTGGCCTGTGCTCCCATCGTCACCATGCAAGTTCTTAAAAATCGGATGGGGGTACACCCCACTTTCGGATAGGCCTATCACTGAAACAAATTTTATCTCTCGTCAAATAATTTGATCTGTACCCTACGCACGAAGATGCCAAAACTGTTCTGTGATAAAGATCGAACTTCTCCGACTCGAGGCTGTGTTATCTGTGCTCGTGACCTGTGCTAGATAGTAGTAGCATAACGCGGGCTGGTACACACTTGTGTCATAAGCTTTGTATGTCGCTCTAGCTGAGTCAATGTTGTACATGTAGTTGATGTGGTCAAATTAAACAACAGGGTGAGAATATTATTTGTCTCCTGTGTGAGAGAGAGAGAGAGAGAGGGGGGGG